AATTAATGTACCCATTTCCTTGTTAGTCAATTATATAATTTCAATTTTCTTATACTAAATAACCTATAATGAACATCTAGAAAATAAATTTCTAATATGCTCTAATCATTGTTTTTTATATTCCTATTTGTCGTAGATCATTTGGTAAAAAAGCTAAAGCCTTAACTTAGGTACATCTCTCACAGGAAATGGAAAACACAGTTTTCTCACCATGCCCTTTGAGCACCAGTCTAACTTTAAAAACTTCTGATCTTTACTTCACATTCCAAAGTTTACTTCAGTAAGATCACATGGCTAGATAGACTCTCAAATTTCTTTCTGTTTGGGAGCTGTTCTAAGGCTCGGGTGGGAAATCAGAGAAAACAGAAACTTTTTAACCATTTGCAGGCTCTCTCCAAAAGGCACCAGGGAAAGGATTGCAAGTCTTTTGAATGGGGTTAATCATACCTCCATTTGAATGTGTAAATTAAGCTGGACACAGTGGCAGATATGGCTATTGAGGAGGGTTGAGGCAGGAGGATCACATGAAGTCAGGACCAAGTACAACCTGGGCAATGTAGTAAGACCCTTCTTAAAAAAAAAAACAAAAAAAAAATATGTTGGTTATGCTCCTGTGGCCCACGCCTGTAGGAGGCAGAGATCAGGAGGGAGGATCACAGTTCAAAGCCAGCTGGGGTAAATAGTTGTGGGACCCTATCTCAAAAAAACCCATTACAAAAAAAAGGGGCTGGTGGAGTGCTCAAGGTGTAGGCCCTGAGCTCAAACCCCATACTGAAAAAAAAGAATGTTGTAAAATATTATCACTAAACTAGAGATACAAACACAAGTATAACTACCAAAATTAGATTTAAATTTGATATGGATGCAATTAAATGTTTCCTCAGGATGAGAGGCTAGACGACGCACACTTACCACCATGACCATCTGGAGCTTCAGTTACTGCTCATCTTGAACTCACCATGAGGAGTGGAAAGAGACTGAGTAGGATAATCACTAGGTTGAACTCCATGTTCTATAGAACCTTTACAGCTTCAATTACAGTTTCCAGTGCCTAAAATAAAAAGACAACCCAATGCATTAGCAGGATTAACATTTATTCAAATATCTTTGGAGTAGGGCAATATAGTAATCTAACATATGACTGATCACAGGCAAAGCTTCATGTGCAGGTGCCTGTTCTTTACAATGTATTTTAAATAATGACATGACATACAGAGTTTTTCAAATGTACACGAGCCCTAATTTCATTTATTATTTGAGATATCAAATTTAACATATCCCCCTCACCTTTTTGGGAGACCATACATGATCTGAGAAATCTTAGGAAGGAAAACAGTAGTAACAGAAAAAGTACTATCCCAGAGTATAAGTCTTGAAAATCACTGCAATACTCATTAGGCCAGAGGGTGACATGTTCAATATATTTTCTTTTGTTCTATAATTTTATCTCATTAGGTCTTTTTGCTTCAATGTGTTCAAGACATAAGCTCTTTGAAGCTAATAAAGTTGTCTAATGTAATTCACTTATTACAGCAATGAAAATTTTCCAGTGAACTACTCAGAGAACTTCAAATCAACAGAGAAAAACATTTAGAAACTCTTTTTGTCTTTCATATAGAGGTACAAGGAGTAAGGATTAAGCTGAATTTAAACCCTAAGGAAAATTACAAATTAAACTCAAGTCACTCACTGAGAATTGGATACATCAGAAGGACTTTTCTCCGGTAAAATGTCTGGGGGGAACTTGGATAAACACTTTGGCTCTTTGTGTCTCCTCATCACCTGAATAGGATCTTTCCAATTCTTATGTCGACAAGCAGTCTCGTAACCTTGTTTCATTGCCTCACCTTGAGAAAGAAATAAAAAGCAGAGGGAAAAGGAGTTGGGAAACAGAGTGAACTTCAAGAACAGGCCCAAAGCAGAGTTGTGACTGTTATTAATACAATAATTATTAATAAAGGACACTGTCAATAAGGATGCATTCTTCTGGAGCTAACAGCTTTCCCTTTTGATATACTCATATTTGTTTTCTTGGCGTACGTCAATAAAACCAGGTTAAAGACAGGCCAATGACAGAAAACACATGAAAAAATGCTCACCATCTCTAGCAATAAAGGAAATGCAAATTAAAACCACGCTAAATTCCACCTCACCCCTGTTAGAATAGCCATCATCAGCAACACCACCAACAACAGGTGTTGGAGAGGATGTGGGAAAAAGGAACCCTCTTACCTGTTGGTGGGAATGTAGACTAGTACAACCACTCTGGAAAAATATTTGGAGGCTACTTAAAAAGCTGGACATCGACTACCATTTGATCCAGCAATACCACTCTTGGGGATATACCCAAAAGGACTGTTACTCCCAGAGGCACCTGCACATCCATGTTTATTGCGCAGCACTATTCACAATAGCCAAGTTTGGAAACAGCCAAGATGCCCACTACTGACAAATGGATTAAGAAAATGTGGTATCTATAACACAATGGAATTTTATGCAGCCATGAAGAAGAACAAAATGTATCATTCGCTGGTAAATGGATGGAATGGAGAACATCATTCTGAGTGAGGTTAGCCTGGCTCAAAAACCAAAAATCGTATGTTCCTCCTCATAGTGGACATTAGATCAAGGGCAAACACAACAAGGGATTGGACTATGAGCACAAGATAAAAGCGAGAGCACACAAGGGAGGGGTGAGGATAGGTAAGACACCTAAAAACTAGCTAGCATTTGTTGCCCTTAACGCAGAGAAACTAAAGCAGATACCTTAAGCAACTGAGGCCAATAGGAAAAGGAACAGGTACTAGAGAAAAGGTTAGATCAAAAAGAATTAACCTAGAAGGTAACACCCACGCACAGGAAATCAATGTGAGTCAATGCCCTGATAGCTATCCTTATCTCAACCAGCAAAAACCCTTGTTCTTCCTATTATTGCTTCTACTCTCTCTATACAAAACTAGAAAATAGGGCAAAATAGTTTCTGCTGGGTATGGGGGGGGAGAGGGAGGGGGCGGATGGGTGGTAAGGGGGGGTGGGGGCAGGGGGGAGAAATGAACCAAGCCTTGTATGCACATATGAATAATAAAGAAAATGAAAAAAAAAATAAAGACAGGCCAATGAAACTAAGATAAGCTAGTTTTATTGCTGGCTTAGAAGTTTTAGAGCTGTCAGGTTTTCATGATTATAGGAGATAAAATGTTTTGCTGAGCTACTCCCTGAGATTTTTCAAACTCAGGAACACTTTTATTATTTTAAAGAAGAGTTTAAACCACCTAAATCTGTCACTTTCATCTGAAAAAATATTAAAATTTTATGGAAGAATAGAGGCAATAGGGCAAAGGATCTCCTTTTAGGTAAAGGTGGCATCAGGAGACATCATTTAGCTCAGCAATGACTTCACTGGCAGAGGCTTTGCTGCAAACATTGAAAAAAGTACAGGATAGTAAAAAGAAAAAATACAGTATTGTTCTCCCTCCCAAAGACCACCCTCCCACACTGATCTTGTAAACTCAGAGCTACTTTTGAGTCTGAATTCTTTTAAAGAAGTGTTTGCCAAAAGTAAATCACTCCCATACAATTTTCAAGGTTTTAGGCCATTAAAAAAAGTTTTTTCTTATTGTTGTGCTGGGTAGGAGTACATTGTGGCATTTACAAAAGTTCTTACAATGTATCAAATATATCATCCTTAAAAGATTTTAGGCCATATTAGAATTCTACCAGTACTGGTACTTACTTAATTTTTTTAAATTAACTGTTTACTCTAAGAGGAAATTTCATAGCACTAGTATAAACATAAAACCTGTTTCTTCCTAATAAATATGAAAATCAACAGGTGACTATGAAGGTTAAAAACAACTCTGTTAGCAGGATGTGGTGGCTCACATCTCTAATCCTAGATACTCTAGAAGCAGAGATCAGGAGGATCATGGTTCAAGGCCAGTCTGGGCAAGAAATTCATGAGATCGTGTCTCAGCCAATAAAACGCTGGGTGTGGTGAGATGTACCTGTCATCCCAGCTATGAGGGAAGTGTAAATAGAAGGATCTGGTCCAGGTTAACCAGGGCATAAACTTGAGACCTATTAGAAAAATAACTAAAGCAAAAAGGGCTGGAGGCATGGATCAAGTGGTATAACTGGCTAGTACATGTGAGGCCAAGTTCAACCCCCAGAACTACACAAACAAAACAAAACAAAAAACCCTCTGGATACAATCTCCATCAGTCCCTTCAAACAAAACCACACACACACAAAAACAGCAAACAAAAAATCCCAGCTCTGTTTGTATCACCCTAAGTCATCCGGTACACATTAGGGGTGCAAGGACCATGCGGGTGCTTTTAGGGAAGGAGCTGGATTGAAAGAAAAGAAACTGTTCACTGTCTTCACCAATTTTCAAAAGTTGAACAACATTGTCCTGAGAATGCTACAATGGCTTAATAGCTTCCTTCATTAAAAAGGGAGTTTAAATCCTGTTTGAGTTGTCACAAACTCACTTCATTACCAGAAAGAAATATGTTTATTTGCCTTTATATATCAATTTCCAGCATGAGTGGGGCTTCCACCATTTGGGCAAAAAATACAAATATTAAGTTTGCTGAAGGGAAATAATCATTCCTGTGTAACAGGTAAAGGTTCTAACTACAGGCATGCAATTTTGCTACACAAAGTTTGGTTTAGAAGGGCAAACAGTTGGACTCGAAACACAAATACAACATTTATAAGCCAGTAAATGGAAATACCTAGAGTTAATAACAGCTAGTAGTTTGCCTATATGGTCACATACTCATCAAACATAAAATTAAAAATATTAAACAAGTCATTCAGTCCAGGTCTTGGCAGAGTTCCCTGCAACAGAAATAAAACCAGAACAAATATTTTCTTCAACCAGGAATCCAAAAGTTCTTCAGGCCCAAATTTATGCAATATTTTTCAAACTGCTCTGTTCTTCCCAAGACAGCATTGCATCCTCCTATTCTCCCACCCTCTCCTGAACCTTTCTAAAAGATGGCTTGCCCACAGGAGCAGGCCACTAGGGAAGATGCTCTGGAGTTAAAATTTGCCACATTTAGCAGCACACAGGCCATGATTCCAACACACCATGAGGTCAGTCAACACAGGTGGTGAGATTTAAGCAAAAGCAGGCTGCAATTATGACAGCAAACTGACCTCTCCCTGGAAAACAGCCGATGTTTCTATGTGTGCAAAAGAGACAAAATCAAGATATGAGAACCTACCGTTCTCATTATGCTGACTCCACAATTTCCCTTCTCAAACTTCACTCCTTCATATTTGTATCCTGTTAGGAAAGAAAAACCAAAGAATTTATCTTTCACATTGGAGCAACCTACTTAGTCTATAATGTGCCTATGGTGTCAAGCAGATGAGTACAAAGCAACCCTTGTCCAAGACACACTGTATAACACCTTAGGTTCCCTGGAAAGTAATGAAATAAAGTCATGATTTTTCATATCTATTTCTTAATTCTCATAAGAAACTGTGGGATATTGGAAGAGGTGGACTCATTGAATGGGAATAGGACTTATTATAGCACAATATTCACATACACGTTCCTCTAATTGAATTCAAAGGAGAATCACTGCACTCCTAGAATGCTATATACCCCATCATTTCAAACTGGGACCCCACTGCAAGCCATATCAGAAAACCTCCTCATTCCATCCCTTTTTATGAGCCTCCATTCTGCCATAAAAGCTGAAGAAAGAGACTGCAGTTACAAGCTACCAACTTGGTCTCATCCTGAATTTGTGTCAATTATGATGCAAAAAGCTTGGCTGTCAATTTTCCATAAAGTCAACCCTTGAATAGAAGAGCTTCCCATTGTTTACTACAGAGCCAAATGAATTACGGATTCCTGAAAACGGGGTTGATTTGGCTATTTTTATGAGAACAAAACAATTCTCCAATTCTCATCATTTTTAGTTTTCTTTTTTTTACTTCTCATGCTTTTTTTACCTGGAGTTTCAGTGTCAAACCAGCCTTCCCCATTTGTTAACACCAGCAGCTTCCCCACAGAAGTGAAGATAAGCTGCCAGCAAGTCTTAACTCTGGTCCCAATGGGCCATCATCAGAGGCAACACCTGCATGCTGAAGACTATTTATTAACCTTTAACTCAAATTGACAAGCAAGCCATTAACAAAAAGTCACCTACACAGATTTCTTTACTAAATGTCTCAGAGGTTTTTTTTTAAAGATGTTTAAAAGAACAGCTCTACCTAGACTCCTCATTTTACATACTGATTTTACTCAGACTGCTTTCTTTCCATTTTCCCCAACTCGAGCTCAGAATTTTTATGAGGAAAATTTGAGAGTAACAGCCCAGGTTACCTGTTGGAGTGGTCACTGTGCATTCTTTATATGGCAGCTGATTCAATCCCTCTTCCACAACAAGTCTGATCTAGAGAGCCAAAGGAAGTATAAGTTGAGAACTTGCTGAGAATCTCCTGCTAGCTGTTAGCCTCAGGAGCTGAACACTAGGCAGAGAGTCAGTAGCACACTAGATAAGGGTTTAGCTTTTGGAAGCAGGAAGGGGGCTCCCATCGTGTGTTAGATGCAGGGACAGATCCAAATGCCAGGCTGCTTGCTGCTAGGTATCCAACCTTCAAGAGCCAAAGGGCTCCACTATGCCTCCTGATTCCCAGGCTATGAGAGATGCAAAATTCCAACAAGTGACAAGAGTCATGGCAGGCACCCTTGGTAGTAATAAATTTCTGGTTACTGTGGAAAGTGTTCACTGGCACTTTTTCTGCCTTGTTCAGAACCTTTGAAATAGCTAAGTTGGAGCCTTTTAAACAAAGGTCCACCATAATGCAAATAAAGTGTGAACATTCTTGAGAGGAAATGAATGAGTGGATGCATGAATCAATTTACTGAGCCTGAAGGAGGATCCAATAGAATATACCAAGGCTTCTCAGCTAAAGAAAAGGCTCATGACAATCATAATGTATGGTACAGAGGAAAGAATCACTCAAACTACTAGAAAAAGCCTCCCAAAATTAGATATGGTATTCTCATGAGTAACCAGAGCCTACTATAACAAAGACAGTGCTGAGCCTGCAATGCACATTTTCTCCAATCAATATTACTTTACTTAATGATTGAGAATCAGGAACACCAGGGAGAAGCACCAGGCTCCACGCTTTGCTATCACAACACAACATCCTGCTGCCATTAAAAGGATCAATTCTAAATGAGCCAACACTTTGTCAGGCTGCAGAATCAGAGAGTAGCCTGGAAACCTCATAAATACTGTGTGTGAGGGCACACTCAGCCCTAGGCACCACCTTCTGTCCTTCTGTAGTGATCTGCAATTTGTTATGAACAAATAACAAGGTAGAAGAGGATTCTTTTCTTGGAAGAACCCAGACCTCCTCCTTACAGTAACACTCTTCCAAAGAGTATTGTCTCCTTCCTCACCTCCTGCAACCCTGGGACAGAAATTAGTGTGTATAAGTCTTACATAAAACCAGAGGAAGGGTGAAAAATGTAAGTGGGCTGTGGGTGTGGCTCAGTGGTAGAGCAGGTGCTTAGCATGCACAGGCCCTGGGTTCAATGCTCAGCACTCAAAAATAAATAACTAAATAATAAATTAATTAATTAATAAAATAAAAAGAACTTAAGGATCAGAGGACCATGGAAACCAACCCTGACAATTTTAGGTTGGAATTAATGTCCACTGTACAAATCCCTTATGCTAGTACTAGAAACCCTCAACAACAGAAACCTAAACAGCAGGAGTCCCTACAACCACAATAGACCCGCCCACTCCCTACATAAGGTCCTTCAAAGACAACTGCGGAGAACAGAGAAGTCCAAATTACCATCCTCAGGTGAATTATGCCATACATCCTTATTACCTCATTTGCCTAAGATACAATGCCTGCCATTTCAGGGAAGCATTTTAGGATAACCATGAACTTAACTTCCACTTCCTACAGGAAAAGAGCATATACACTTGGCACAGGGGCTTGTGCCTGTAGTCCCAACTACTTGGGAAGCTGAGGTAGGATTGCTTGAGCCCAGGAGTTTGAGGCCAGCCTGAGAAATGGGGAGACTCTGTCTCAAAAACAAAAATGTTAAAAATGAAAGGAAATGAAAAAAGAGAACAAGGAAAGCAAAAGAAAGGGGAACAATTTTCTGCCAGTAAACACACAGACCCCTGTTCTCTCAACAGCAGTCATTAAGATGTAAGTTCTTCCATGGTCAGACCTGTTCTTTTCCTTTGGTAAAAGTATAAAAGAATGTCAACCACACTCTTCTTGGTACTATTTAATGGTTATTATTGCCCCTGAAAGCTCAAATAATTTTTAATAGAATTGTTTTCTGAATCAGGAATATTTAAAGCCAAAAGCAGAACAGGAATTGTGTACACTATTTTGGAAAATCTAAATGAAAAGTTTCATGCCTTTTTCCTCACATTTCCTTTATGATCTGCTTTCTATTATCCGGTTGTAACTGCAAGCCATGTTTCTTTTTTCCCAGTATTTAGATTGTAAACTCCAAGATCAGGGACCATGTCTACATTCCTGGCTGTTGTATCTTCTCCTTCCCAACACATTCTAGTATAGTACCTGACTCACTCACATGAGTCCAGTGCATATTTTATGAATGAATAAAAACTAATAACCACAGCAGAAAATGTATCAACTTCACTGGGCACTCAGCACACTTAGATGTGAACATAAAAAGGATACACAGAGGTTACTCTGTAGACAAGCCAATTTGGTCTGAGATCCTCTCAGACAAAACCAGCTAAACAGAATTGGGCTTGGTCAGTCTTTAACAGGAAGTTCCTGAGGAAAGCATAGATACTCAACTTAGTACTTCACATGTCAGGATAGTGTAGAACAGAGGCAAAATAAACACTGCCCCCACATAAACTAAGTGTACTAGTTTTTGCGCATTAGCTGGGTACCACAAGGGTAACTACTGGGTCTCCTTACATCTTTGGTTTTCCTCTAATGTACTTTACTTCATTTCCCTAAAATGAGGCATTTAAGATTTGTATAGAACAAGGTTGCCAAGATCCACCTGACAGGTAGTAGTACCTGAGAACCACAGGGAATGAGTTCATGGGCAATACCTTGGGGTGAATGGGATTGGAGGCAGAGCTTTAATGAAACAACAGAAAGAACACTTTGGAAACCTAGCAAGATGATTGTTACTTGGTATAATCTTTCTCACCCCCAGAATGCTCTAGAACAAAACAGCACCTTGACCTACCATGATTATATCACTAGGTACAGCAATGAAATGAAAATGGAAAGCCTCCACCTACCAAACGATCCGCAGAAAACATGAAGTCCCCTCTACTGGCTGTCCTAAAAAAAACAGTACAAGTTTTAGTCTAAATTAGAGCTTTAGGTAAAATATAACTTAGTACATATAGTAACACTGCGATTAAGATCTATTACATACTAAAAGCTTTAATGCTTATGTGTACAGACTATACTGAGGATAATTTTTACTAGACTACAGACACCAAAACAAGATGACTTGATAAATATTGCTGGAAATGCTTATTTGGTATGAACATTGGAGAAAGGAATTGAGAAGATCATGCAGATCCCACTGAGCTGTCCAGTGTGATCCAGGTGATGAACTAAGCTCCCTCTGAAACATGGCAGCAAGTCTACAGCTCAAATAGGGAGAAACTTTTGCAGTAAGAAAACCAGGTTCTCATCTCCCCCATCTTCCTCCTCAATTCACCTTGATCTATGCCCCATATTATAGGAACAAGTAACCCATCTACTTTGTCTCTAATCCTCTACTTTTTCCACTGCTTCCAAGAATGTGTACACAAAATTTCCAAGACCCTCTTTCTCAAATTACTTGTAATTTGTTCCTTTTGCCTGTTTTTTTTCAAACAAATTCTTCATTCTCTAGATCTCTCTGCCATATTTCTGTACATTTCTTCTAGTCAATACTTTCACATCCTAAGGTACTCAAGTAATAATAATCTAGGGTTGCACCTACCCACAAGCTGCTAACCAGCCCAAAAGGCAATGTTAAGAGACTGAAGCTCTTTCTATATGTAAAAATCTAGTAGAGTTCCTCCTCCTTCTTTCATGTAATTTAAACGGTCTGACTGAATGGACTGATTTACAGCTTATGTACTTAAAAGTCCCTACCTGCCTACCCAAAGCATATCTAAAATATTCCCCAGCACAACATGGAAATGGCATATGCAAGCACCTATTATCCTTGTATACCATTAATCACCACTCCTTTTTTTTTGCAAGCTGTATTCACTTTCTCTGACATGGGGAAGCAATGAAATATCCCTGACGCAAATGGCATTATGTTTCTTAGAGTAACCTCAGTTCTATCATATCACAGATATTAACTCCCTAAAATATGGAACATAATTGAGCAATAGCAAGAATATAGGTCTGTATTCTTTATGTATAAATATTCCCTAAACTCAGAAAACCCTACACACACACACACACACACACACACACACACACACACAAACCTATATATACAGAGAAGCCATTTAAAATAGGCTCTATTTCATGTACTGTGGTTTTCAAATGAGACCAGCACCTTTCATTTCTATAATTAGTCTTCACAACATATTTGTCAAGGAAGTAAAAAGCAGTGAACTATAAATAATACAGAAACCTACTGCTCTGCTAGACCTATACATAATTGTGTACGCAGCCCAAGCACAGTTTTTCAACAGGGAAGTCTGGATCTCTCCTAAAGAAATAAACTATAATATCTTGGGAATACATGTGAATTTTCTTATATTTTGGAACAGTTACACATCAACTAATTACACAGAAAAGTAGTGTTAGGTTAATTGATCAGAGTTGTCCAAATCTGATATTTTACTTTAGAATAATATATTTAACACCTTTCACACCCTGCCTCTTAAAACATTAGGCTTAGCCAGTAACTTTTGCATAATAAGCACCTTCTCTACCTCCCAAAAAAGGTATAATTAAGAATCTAATATGAACTATCATCTCTTGACACTTATTTAACCTATAAATTAAGTCATTCATGGTTCCAAGTTACCCTACTACAAACAGTAATTACTGACCCTTGTTTTAGACAGACTTCAGACCCATTCTATATACTTTAAATCAATTTAGAAATTAAAGTACAGCTAGAATACAATGAGGTGTTTGTATTTTTAAAAACTCAGAGTGGCCTTCAACATCATTTAAATCTTCAACATTGTTGAAACTACAGTTTCATAAATGCAGATATTTACTTGTCAGATAAATCAAACTGCCCATATTCTCTGAACCCCTGCTTTAGGCCCAATACTGGGCTAAATTCTTTGTTAATAAAGATGTTTTAATGGAAACCAGACCTCAGGTCTTATTCACACTTGATACTTTGTTTTAAATCATAACTCCACCCAATTTTTGTCTCAAACCCTTTAAAACTCCCTCCTACTGAATGTATATCAATCATCTTCTAATAGTAGTCCCAAATAAAACTGAATGCAAAATTATCACAAAACAAAAAGCACACAGACAACACATCCCTGGGATATTCTAAAATATATCTAAAAATCAAATATCACATATTTAAACAGACAGTGGTATCCAGACATTCAGAATTCAAAGCATGGAAATATAATTAATATTAAACTGAATGTCTTTTAAATTGTACAAGCTCCAAATAGGTTTAGGAATGGAGATCTAAACTATATGTGATCTCCACATATACACTTTTCTTGACATACCCACACCCAGGTGTGTCTCAAGGTGAAAGCCAAAGGGAGCCAATATATTAAGTGGTCTTCACAGGGTAACAACAAAAATCAAGATTCATGCTGGAAACCAAATCCTCATTTTAATGTGAAATGGGTAAACCTGAGTCTTCCTTACTTGTTAAATTAGGCTGTCTATAAAGCACTTAAAATTTTCCAGAGAGCTAGGCATAGTGGTGCACTACTGTAATCCCTGCATTCAGGAGGCTGAGGCAAGAGGATCAAAAATTCAAGGCCAGATTGGATTGCAGAGCAAGACCTGGTCTCAAAAAAAATACTATCTAGATGCTGGGCAGGTTCTTGGAAGACTGAGGCAAGAGAACCACTTGAACTCAGGAGTTTGAAGGCAGTCTGGGCTACATAGTGAGACCCTGTCTCTAAGTGAATGAATGAATGAATGAATATTCCTCCTGAAGAGGGAGATACTTTTATGATTACATGGATTGTTAAGAGTATATACTAAGGTTACCACATACAAGAGTACATGCTTTCCTGGGTGTGGTGGTACACACCTACAATCCCAGCACTCAGGAGGCAGAGGCAGAAGAATCTGGAGTTCCAGGGCTGGCCTGCCTGTGCCATATAGTGAGAACTTGTATAAAAAAAAAATACATGCTTTCAAAAATTGATTAAGCAAACCCTTCTGATTCATAATTTAAAACAATTTAATTGCAATCAAATCCTGGGAACACTGAATTAGGTCTCATTTCAAAAGTTTAAATATATCACTCTTCTTCCAGGAAGAGAGGAAGAGTATACACAAGGAGTGTTTGCAGCATTTGGGGTAGGGGAAATTGGAGTTGGGCATTTAACAAATAAAAATACAGGATGGCCATTTAAATGTGTATGTCAGAGTTCCATGCAATACTTAATTTTCACTTATATAAAAATTATTCATTGTATATTTTAATTCAAATTTAACTAGGTATCTTGTGTTTTATCTGGTAACCCAATTGAGGAGGAAGAATTTAATGGACTTTAAAAGTAAAAATATGAATTCTCAGCTCTAATATGTTTTTGTTTGTTAACCAATAGGTTAAAAGGATGTGAAACATAAAAACTTTTCCAGCCAGTTAAACTAAGGGGTATGCTTCATTTAAAGCTAATGTTTAGTGAAACCTCTAAAAACATAAGTTCCACTTCTCTGTTATTATGTGATCAATAAGATAAAGAATAGCCCCAAGATTTGCTATAGTATACAGATGACTTGCAAATGATTTTACCCCTCCTTCCTTTACCTTCAAAAAACAAATTCCTAATAAAGTACTTAGAACAAACCCAACTCAATGTGAAAAGTTAAAAAGAAAATAGCTTTAACTACCTGCCAGGTGCAAGTTGTCAAGGCCACAGCTCCTTAGCGCCTTCTAAATGAACTCATAAAGCGGAGGCCCATTAATTATTCACTTGCACGTCAAAGCAGAGTTCAATGTAAACATTCAAAATCAGGTAGAAAAAAACAAGAGGAATGATTGCTTCCTCTTATTATTAAGATTGCTACATTAATGCCAACCCAGATCCTCTTGCTGCCTCCTCAGAGTCCAATCTAGTTCGTGAGACATTACCAGGATATGCCTAGTAAATATTAAGTCTGTACAACTAAAGATGTGACTTCCGGGGCCAGGGGGGAGAAATGGCCCAAACAATGTGTGAACATATGAATAAATAAATAAATAAAAGATGTGACTTCCTCTCTATTGTCCTAAGAGCCAGTTAGAAAATTCTCATGGGAACACACGAAACCCAAAAACATGTTCATGCTTTTAAAAATTTGTAAGTCACAATGTATTCTGTGGTGAATGTTTTGGTTTCAAATAAGTTGAAAGGAAAAGTTTTGAGAGTCCTCCAATCTTAGGGTGATGCCAGGCCAGGCTCTCTAGGCTGGTTCTGTTTAGTGTATGGAATCCCTGGCTCACCCTATACCCCAAATCTGAAGCCAGGCAAATCACCACACAGGAAGACTGGCTATTCTCCCAGAGGCAGTGGCCCAGTTGAGCACAGAATAATCATCCAATAGTGTTTGGAAAGCCACAAATAGCCGGGTTCCACCCAACACTATGCAAACATCCTCTAAGGATGAGGGCCAGTTTAAAAAAAAAACTCCATAGGCAATTCTGATGCACAGCTTCAGTTAAGAACATTATATTACTTAGATGACTCAAATCACATTAGGGTTACACAGGACATTCTGAGGTTGTCTATTCTGAGGCTGTCTCCTCTCCAAATGACTAAAAAAAGGTTACAAGGCTGAATGCACTCCTTCAGTACCACTTCATGAAATGGAATACTCTTAAAATTGCTCAGCTTTCATCCAAGCAGCCTGCAGGATGGGCCATACTGAAGTCCCTCCTAGGGCAAGTATACAGACAGGATATATTCAATAGCTCACAAAACAGCTTTATTCTAATGTTTTAGGATACAAAAGAAAATAAAAAATACTGTGCCAGGAGGATGATCTTTTAAATATAAGCATTGCCTTACTTATGAGGTCATGAACTATGCTGAAGGGAAAAAGTGCATTACACAGATTTTGCTGAGTTTAATATATAAAGAAAGCAGAAGGGGAAGGATGTGTGTATTAATACATTTCAATACCAACAAAAAGAAACCACAAGGAAATAAAGGAGTTATTTCTTTGTCATAGTTCACCAGTGATCCATGTATGTATGGCTGAGCAAATTATCTGCTCATTTGGTGTTTAGATTACTGAACTCTCAAAGACAGAAAATAATTTCCCTGAAACTCAATAATACAGCCAACATATTCTGTCTCAAACACTGTGCATTTCAAAACAAATAAAGTCATTTTAAACCACTAGGGACAATGTTATAGATATAATACAGGCCTGCTGGATCAACCCCTCATTTCCCCATGCCAAAGTAAATTCATAAAGTAATACATTCACTGATAGATGCTAAGGACTAGGAACAATAAAGGAAACAGCACATACCCCAATGGCTTCTATTTTCAGACATCTCCATAGTATACATATATGCTGTCATCAAAATCGAGAAAAGTGTACACTTAAAGAGGGCAGGGTATGATAATCAAAAGCACCTTCTACAACTAGACCTATGTAGATATAGCTCCTTTTACCATAGGCACCCCCATCACCCACCTAGGCTGGAAAAGGTCTTGTTTGTGTAAGGGCATGGCAATTTTTTAAATATAAAGAACAGAAGAGAAAGCCTTTATGAACAGATTTGGTTAACAACAACAACAACAAAAAACTAAAAACACTATCCCCAACCTAAATAAGCACCAATTCATTATCAAAAGTTGTAATAGCTCTTTCTGTACTATGGTAAGGCAAAATAAAATTATCTAGGCTCTCTCAATATTTATTTAAAAATAAGAATGGGAATTCCTTGTACAGTTAAATTTTTTAATGCCCTAATAAGGACCTGAAATGCACCAGGCATGGTGGCTCACACCTGTAATCCTCGCTACTTGGGAGGAAGAGATCTGGAATATTGGGATTCAAGGCCAGCCAAAGCAAAAAATTTAGCAAGACCCCATCTCAACTAATAATGGGCATGGTGGCATATGCCTGTCATCTCAGCTATGCAGTAAACATAAATAGGAAGATTGTGGTCCAGACTGGCCTGGACAAAAACTCAAGATCCTACCCCAAAATTAACCAAAGCACAAGGACTAGAGGTATGGCTCAAGTGGTAGAGTGCTTGCCTAGCAAGCACAAGGCCCTGAGGTCAACCCCCATGCCACAAAAAGAAGAGATGTGAATATCTTAAATGTGCACAGCTCTTCACAGTTTATAACAAATGTTCATAGGCAGTATCTTGTTTCAGCCTCCCAGGGGCTCTAATGGTAATACCAACATCTTCATTTTACAAATGATAAAGTTAAAGCACAGAGATGCTGAACATCTTGCTGAGATCACTCCTCTGGATCCTGCTCTCTCCTTTCAAACACAGAAAAAACAAAACAGATTCCACTTATATCCAGGTTTACTATATAACCCAGGCTTTTCTAAGTAATGAAGTATAATCATGTACATACAAATATTGTCATTTGTAAAGGCTGAATGTCATACTCTCTCTAAGCCCTATAGTAATGGTTCTTAACCTTTACATTAGTATAACCCCTTGTGAAATCTAATAAAAACTAAGGATCCTCACCATGCAAAAAGGCCTTGCAAGCGAATGTTCATAGTAGCATTATCATAATAGCCAAAGAGTGGAAACCACTCAGGTGTCCATCAACTGTTGAATGGATAAACAAATTGTAGTATATACATACGATGAAGTGTCATTTGACCATAAAAAGGAATGATACACTAAGATAACATGATTGAACCCTGAAAACATACTAAAAGAAAATAGTCACACAAGAATCGGGTGATGTATGATTTATTTTATTTGAAATTCCAGAACAGCAAAAACCACATGATCTCACTCTCTGTGGAATGTAAAAAAGTTGATCTCAGAGAAGTTGACAGTATAATGGAGGTTTCCAGAGGCTGGGAAAATTAGGATGGTGAGAGGGATGAGAAAGGGTTGATCAATGGGTACTAAGGTAGGTAGATGGAGCAAGAAGTTCTGATGTGCTACTGCACAGTAGGGTGACTATAGATAACAATAACCATACAGTTCAAAAAGAATAAAGGATTTAGAAAGCTTTTACCATAAAGAAATGATAAATGTTTGAAGAGATAAATAAGTTTAACCCTAATGAACATTATACAATGTATATGTGTACTGAACATTACATGGTACTCCATTAATATGTACAATTTTTGGGTTTTGTTTTGTTTTGACAGTATTGGGGTTTGAAATCAGGGCCTCATGCTTGCTAGGCAGGTGCTCTCCCACTTGAGCCACTCCACCAGCTCACAATTTTTGTTTTTATGTATCAGTTAAAAATAAATATAAAAAGAAATGTCCAGGATAGGCAAATCAATGGAAAGTGAAAGTAGATTAGTGATTGTCTAGGAGGTGGGGTGGGGACTTGAAGGGAAATGGGAGTGACTGCACATGGTGTTTCTTGTGATAAATATATTCTAAAACTGATTGTGGTATTTGGTGGTATACAGCATAGGCCTACTTAAAACCACTAAATTGTACATTTTAATGGCTTGAATTTTATGCTATATGAATTATATCTCAATATAATTTATATCCTTTTATTTTCAGTGCTGAGAATCAAATCCAGGGCCTTGTGCATGCTAGGCAAGCTCCCTACCACTGAACTATACTCCAAGCCATTCAATAAAGTTTAATGAAATTTTGAAAATAGCCATAAAAATACAAATAAAATTTCCACATAATTTCTGAGGCCTGAAACCCATCTACAGATGTAGTGGGGTCTGAGATCCAAGGTTAGGTTAATTCCTGATCTACAGAAACAAGAATCATCATCCTATTTTGTTTCATAAATGTTTAATTTTAGCTGTCCCCAGAACTACCAAGCCTTTGTCTCAACTTTTTTAAAGATCACTACTTCATCTATGAGATCTCATGATCACAGAAGAGCTTTCCATATTAAATAGTATAATTTTATAAATATAATTTTTTTGCCATACTGGGGCTTGAACTCAGGGCCTTCACCTTGAGCCACTCCACCAGCCCTTTTTTGTGATGGGTATTTTCGAGATAGGGTCTTGCGAACTATTTGCCTGGGCTGGCTTTGAACCATGATCTTCCTGATCTCTGCCTCCTGAGTAGCTAGGATTATAGGTGTGAGCCACCAGTACCCGGCTTCATAAATATAATTCTAAGAGCTAGGTCCAGGCATAGTGGTAATGTTACCACTTAGGAAGCTGAGTGGTATGCATTTCAAAAAAAAGTCATTTTAAATCAGTAGGGAGGAGGATCCTGAGTTTAAAATCAGCCTGGGCTACATAGTAAGACCCTGTCTCAAAAAAAGAGCTAGAAAAAATCTTTAGTAATTGAGTATCTATTACTGGCAAAGCATGGTTGGAATTCAAAAATGTAAAAGATTTCTTCCTTAAAGGAACTTAAAACCTAACAGGCAATCCCAGCTACTTGAGAGGCAAAGATAAGGAGTGAGGTTTGAGGACAGCCCAGACAAAAAGTTAGAAAGACCTTATCTCAAAAAACAAGCAAGGCATAGTGGTGCACATCTGCAATCCCAGCTACAAAGGAGGCAGAGGTAGGAGAACCATGGTCTGAGGCCAGCCCAAGGCAAAAGCATGAGACCATATCTGAAAAAGACCCTAAAAAAAAAGAGCTGGTGGCATGCCTCAAATGGTACAACACCTGCTTAGCAAGGACAAGGCCCTGAGTTCAAGCCCCAGTATTGCCAAAAAAAAAAAAAAAAAAGTACCAGGCAAGATAAGATTGACACACAAGAACAATGTGCAAAACAGAAGGTGATTCTTTCACTAAAACGTCCAGGGACCATCACCTGGGAAGAATGACTAAAGGAAAGCTTCTTGACAGAGGTGGACAGTTAATTGCTGGATTTGACCTTGAAAAATTGGTGGCATCTGAACTTGTGTAGAGGGATGTAGGGAATTCCATATGAGAGCAAAAGCAGGAATGTTTCAGAATAGTTCCTGGGAACCACGGGGAGGGGCCTTAGTATCAAGCCAAGGATCCTGGACTTCACTCTGTAGGCTCCAAGAATCCAAAAAAGGTTGTTGAGTAGGACTGTTATCAATCAAAGCTGTATGTTAGGAAGATTGATTATACAGCAATATGTGCATGCATGTGTAAGAGAGAAAAATTATAGCAAGGAAATAAATTAGGAGCCTATTACAACAGTATGAAGAAAAAGTTACCAGAATCAGTAGCTATTTTTAAAATATAAGAACATGCCCCACCACTGAAAAGGTGGTTTTCTGACATGCTATAGCTACCCATTTAAAGCTGCCAATAAGAGCCAGGTGTAATTCAGG